GAATTCTAGTAGGAAATTATAAATGTTCCCAACGGGTCAACTTGGTGTCCTGTGTCAATCAAGTATTTGTCGACTAAAGATATGAAATTGTGTCACCACTTGAATCGATGGCTTTTTGATACATGACCTAAGTTATTCCTTTTTTTCCTCCACCTACTACCTCCATAAAGATATACGGACTCATATATATATATAGCTAAAAGTAATATACGACTCTACCAGCAAACAGGATGTTCAAAGCAGAGAGATGAACTTTGCTGACGCAGCTTTTAAAATAATTAACAGATGGAACAACCAAAATCTTCTTTGGTTAAAACCCGACCTGTATGTCCAAAAGGAGTATATTATTGGAGCTTAATTACACCTGTTACCTTCCTCCTTAATATCCTCTCATTTTCCGGTTGCATCATTTCGTTTTTTTCCCTTCTTTATTAACAAGGAGGGAATAAACACATTTGCAGGATAAAATACCTCTTTATGTCTCATGCATTTTTATCAGCTGCTAACATTCTAAAAATGACATAAGTTATTATGAATGCAAAAATATACAACACACTTCAAACTTATAACATTGGCTTACTTTTTACTTTACTGTATTCCTTCTTTTGTGTATCTACCGGTTCCAGCTATATTAGCACTATGAGTAGTACAAAATTATCCTGTCATTAACCATCATGCAATTATTAGTTTTTGTAGTTGTTTTTTCTTACTTTTTATTTTTTTTCAGCAATATTAACTGACAATCACTGATTGTGAACGCCATTATCGCCACCTTAAAAATTTTGTATTATGCAGGATTGCTCACGCTACCACTACAATCACTGCATTAGACCTGACAATAAAAAACAAAACAACAACCCTGAAATGTTACTTTAAGATTGTTTAGAGTTATATCAACCAAATTAACTGACCATCTTGGCGATAAACATTCTTAAATATCATTTCATAACTTCTTGTATGACTATAGCTTTACTGTCACCATGCATAATCATATCATAGCTTCCACTACCCAATACTGGGTTATTATTATATGATGTTTATTTTCCCTTCTACTTCTTGGTATTTTTTCGCATTTTTAAAAATTTTTGTTTTTTGTGTTTTTTGCTGTTGTTACCTTTATGTTTATTTTCTTCTGAAAATACTCCTTTTAAACGTTGGATAAAATTAGATGCAAATATTGTAGATATGTGCTGAAAATTCCACACTGTACCACTAGTACTGTTTCTGGAATAAAGCAAATTATTATTATTTATTTATTTTAACTCAAAGAGTGCAGTTATGGAACAAGAGTTATGAATAACAAAATGTGATGAAACTTTCCGAAGGAGAGGGTAAGAATGAAAAGAAATGGTAAGTTAAATTAAAATTATTGCGTAAACAAACAACCAAGTAAACTGAACGATTAATAGTGAGTTTAGTTCAGTGAGCTGTAATCAAGAAAAGAAAACAAAATATGACTCAACAAAAACAAACTAGAGACGTCCAGTTACCATAGTAGTGAGAGATCAATCACACTATCTTTCTGTATACAGAGAATACATCGGAGTATTTCGATAGTAATGGCTCTCGTGAAGCAAAGTAGCTAGCCTTTTCTCTCTATATTGATTATTTTGAAGGCCTGACTGATTTTGACTGAATGGCTGCAGAAAACTAGTGGAAAGATGATGATGTAATTTGCAGTAAAATGCTATGAGTGGAATTAAAACGATCAATAATTATGGTCTAATAAGAAAGTCTAACGGAAAATGAACAGTCCCATTCAACCACTCCTCCAAATTAGTTTGAACAAAGAGATAATGAACACATTTGAGCCCTTTTAGACAGGATCCGTGTCGAACAATATATGGTTGCAGAAAGGAAGCAGAGGCTTGATGAGAAGTGCAATAACTGAACACTTTGTAGATAATGGCCATTCTGTCTCAACAAGGTGATTTACAAAGTGAAAAGCAAAACGGCCTTATACTATCTACTGTAGCCTTCTTTGCACTCCTGAAGCTCTAACCAGCCAGATGGAGAAATCGGAGTTGTGAATACAAAAGAAAATCTTTCATCCACTTCTATTGCCGTAGTAAGGACCATTTTATTTTCAACCTAACTGTTTTACTTCTTTTGTTTCTCTCTCACATTTTCTGACTCATTTGTCCTCCCGAACTCTCAAGTAACATAGAACTGTCTTTGTTCTTTTGTACATCCTGATTACAACTCACTTATTAAAATAATTATTTATCTTATTGCATAATTCTACCACCTTTATTCAACTTCTCATATGTAATGATTAATATTAGCAACTATACGTGTAATGATGATTTATCCCTTCCTTACTATTCACTGTTACGAGAAAAAATTGTATATAAACGTGATGGTACAGCTAAAGGAAGTAAATTCTTAAAAAGAATTCTTCTCTGAAATACTTGTCGTGTTTTCGTATTAATGCTCGGATGGGAATTATTCATCACTGTTCAAAAATAAACACCACTGCTACCGAAACTTCAAGTCTCTAGCTTGAAACCCTATGTTCCACTTGGAACGTGAAGGTATAAAAAAATTTGGATTCTAACCTTTTGAAGTCTGAAGACCTAATATCTAACATCAAACAGGTACAGAAAGAACACTACTCGACTGTTTCATAGCTGGCATGTACTCTGTGTATACTGACTGAATCATTTAGTTCCGTAAATTCTTGCAGGATAAGTTTACAAATGCTTCGATGTTTCGAAAACATTGACACACTGAAGTGAGAGTTATATGAGCGTAAAGTTATAGGAAATGAAGCATCAGTCAACACAGAGACGAGAGATCACGTAGGTTTCATATATTGTTTTCCAAGGGAAAAGTAAAGCCGCGTTAAAGAGAATTTCCAGAAGTGAGATCTAAGTAGTAAGGGAAACAAGTTGATCATTACAATTAAGATCCGTGAGTCATTCATTTTTCGCAACTCTATTTGTCGTAATTATTTATAGGGAATAGAACAAGAAGTTCAGCAAAGATATCTTTTCGGCGATTTCATTCTCAAAAGCTGTACAATCGCATTTATATACATTAGTTTACATGGATACAATTATTATTTATTTGATTCCACATAGTAACGAAGGTGATAATAATTTTCAACTTGATATGAAAGTTTGAAGGTACGAATATAGATTACAAGTGGCTTAGAGACAAGTTTACATAAGATTAGAAAACAGTTACAACGTATGCAAAATTAATATTTGATAACTGGAGAAATAATTTTAAAGGCGAATAAAAGGTGATAATTATTTTCAACTTGATATGAATTACAAGAGGCTTAGAAACAAAAGTTACGCACGGATAGAACGAATTACAGGTGTGACCAAAATGAGCATGGAAACAAATTGAAATCAAAATTTTCAACTTGAAATGTAAGTTAGTAGGTGTGAATATAGATTACAAGAGGCACGGAACAAAAATTATACAGGATTAGAATATAATTGTAAAATGGCTATTCTAAACGGATTCAAGTGTGATCAGGAGGAGCATGGAAACAAACTTAAAATAATTGATTTTATAACTGAGAAAAATGGAATGAATTGAATGAAGACAAAGAGAGAAAATTACACACACAGAGAACAAAACAAAAAAAAACTGAAGGATAAGGGAACATACCAAAATAGGTCTACGGTAGTTGTAAAGGCTGGACTAGTTTCTTTTGAACACATAGCTCCGGCTTTTCGATGCATATGGCAAGAGCTTCCACAGTACAAAGAAGTTGGAAACACACTGTCTTTGGTAGATTTTTGTTTACTTTGTAAATGACTCTGAATGATGAGTCAGTTGAGATGCTGTGTGACAGGTATTGACGAGGTGTTCAGTTATGCCGCTTCTGATTGAACCAGTGCCTCCTCTTTGCAGCCATGCTGGATGATGTTCTCTTACACGTTTTGATAAGACCCACATAGAGCGACTTATGTACCTAGCTTCGCAAGAGCAGGTGAACTGATATATGCACACTGAAGTGGTCATATGCGGAAGTCTGTCCTTCTCGTTGCTTCTATGCAATCTTGTCTCTAAGCCACTTGTAATCTATATTCGTACCTTCAAACTTTCATATCAAGTTGAAAATTATTATCACTTTCGTTACTATGTGGAATCAAATAAATAATAATTGTATCCATGTAAACTAATGTATATAAATGCGATTGTACAGCTTTTGAGAATGAAATCGCCGAAAAGATATCTTTGCTGAACTTCTTGTTTATCTTTCCTCTAATGTCCCAATGGGTAATTATTTATGTCAACATCAAGGGTGACATACTTGGGTCACGCTACGATCACTTGTCGTTGTGGTAGGTCAATCAACGCTTATTACTTTTTAAATACGAGTTATTTTTGGAATCTAGGTATGAAATTAGACTCTTAACCTCATTTAATTCACATTATACATTGTACAGGCACATCAAGTATTAAAAATTAAGAATCAACATCGAAAGATCTTTGTTTTTATAATAAAGTTGTTGCCTAGATAACTAGGCAGATGATAATGGCTAGATTTGCACATCTTGTTTATTAAATAACATATACAAATAAGTGATGAAATGAAGAATAAAAATACTTTACAAAGAATAGTGATTTCTAGAGTATTCAATGAAGAAATATATAAGGAATGTTCGGTCTTTTATTTTTACAAATTTTATTATTATATTTCATAACAATCGATTAACAGAGAAGAGCACATTTTGACAATAATGCTATTCTATTCCTAAGCTTCTTTTTTTATCTAAAGGCAAAAGAAATCTAGTCGTATTGAAGAAATGATGAGTGAAAAGTGAGGAAATATGATTCATGTGTGAGTAGTGCACATAAAAATAAACCCAAAAATGCCAATGAAGAGAGACATAAAGTAAAAGAGCAATGAAACTTACTACAGATATTTACAACTCCGTAAAATGAACATTCGATTGGTAACAAGTAATTAAGAGTAAATATGACAGAATATGAAAGCAGATTCCCTTATGTTATCTATAAATTTACACATCTGATGAGAGAAGTTTTAGCTGATAACTCAGACAAGTGAAGCATAACAGATGAATATGAAATTATCAATAATTGTCAAGTCATAAGCAATGGCAATTAGAAAACCTGTAAATATCATTCTTGTAATAACAATAAGACTATAAGTATCATGGATGTACAGGGAAGATAAGATTTGAGACGGTTATCATCAAGGAGAAGTCAATTACATACATGTTCTGTTCACAGCCAATAAATGCATTGGATGATTTATCCTTCAGAAGGCTACTCCATGATAGTCGGTGTTCAATTTGAGTTATTTGAATGGAGGGAAGGACTTCAGAGTGAATGATATGATCTGATGAGACATTGCTGAATCGTGCAGATGGATCACATTATAATTTCTGTCTGATTCAATTTCCTTTCTATGTTTAAGCGAGTCTGTTTAGGTAAATCTGGGTGTATTTTATCAGTGTTCACATATATTTATCAGGTAATATAAGCCACTAAAATGTCATGCAACAGGTAAAAAATAAGTGGTGAATATCTAGTTTGGTAGATTAACTTATTTAGGGAGGTAATGAAGGTAAAGAGTTAAGACGGTTGATGAACTGAGATTAGGAAATAAGTGTAGTATCTTTGTTCAGAAATTATAGTAATGTTATATTTTAAACTGTTTAAACCATCTGTATGCATACGTTCAGATGCTTTGTACAACAGACTATAGCGCAGTTTGGATTGGGAACGAGTTTGTATAGGATGTGGTAAAGCCAGATACCGCGCAATACTTTCATTTATGTGAATGTATTCTATATGTGCAGCATTTAAACGTCTCTCTAAATCATCATCCTCTGCACCCCATCCCCAATAACTATTTGAATAACCGTTAACTGCTAAGAAATGTTGAGTTGAGATTTTCAAGACACCTCCAATCAGTGTTTTGTAGGGAAGTTTATAATTCCATGAACTTACACCAACACTTAAATGTACAACTGTCTTCATTGTCTGCTTATCACATCCGTATGGAATTCTATCATCCAATGGTGCTAAGTCAGCGTCATGGAATACCGCACAGGCGAAGTCGAAACGTTTCTTTGCTTCTACAAATCCAATGTTCAGAAGCATAGCCTTGTTCAAAAGGCCATCATCCTCCTGTTCAACAACAAATATTCGATAACATAGACGCTGCTTCTGAAGGATTGGAATTAGTGTGGACAGTGTGATATTCAGTTGCTTCCATCTGTTTTTGCAGACAAAGATAATCGCCACACCGGATTTCGGGACATGACTACAATTTGATTCTGAATTATTGTTCTCCTCTTTAAACATCCATGAACCACCGATTAGATGTGGTGAGAAGGTGTCATTTATCATGATTTCAGCATTCGTTAAATTTGCATTCACTGTTACCGCTCCACTTTGCTTGAACTCATCTATTCTATGTCTGGGAACACTCTGAATATTTTCGCAAACTGTACGGCAAGTTTCAATACTTTCGCTTTGTTGCGTATCTCCAATTATCAATATCTCACGTGTGTAATTATAAACAATCTCTTTTGAACGGAAATATTTGAAGTGTGTATGAACAATTAGAATGGTGTAAAGTGTGAGTAGGATTATTTTACAAATCAAAATACGACTTCCTAATGATTTCTTTTTGAGAATCATTTTGTTTGTGGAACCAGGTAGAATTTTGATTTCAATTTATGTGAATTAACATGAGTTTTATATGACGAAATTGTGGGCCAATCAACCTACAGCCCACAACAGCCAATCAGACAGACTTCAGTTTGTGATTGCTCAAATCGGACACAGAATTTAGTAATTAAATAGAACAAATGATTGTCATGAAAATGACTTTTGCCTGTGTTTAGAGAACAGGTCACTAAAAAAAATAGTTTACATGCATTTTCCAATGAAAAAAACAAATAAAATGTTATGTTTGGGTATTATTTTTATAGTTTCACTGTGAGCACTTGCTTAAGTACCCTAATTAAAGAATTGCATGTACAAGTTGGTAATTTCAGAATATGCTAATAGAGTTCATCGTTTGAATTTATAAAACAAGCGATTTTAAGTGAGAAATAATTGTTTGGTATTGTTGTCAATGAAATCAATGAGCTTAATGTGTTAAACACGCTTCCTGATAATCCCAAGTCTACAGATCTCATCATCATCTCTTAAACTGCCACATACGTCTTTCTTTTTTCTTTCTCGCCTTGTATCTCATCAAGTAAAACCAGAAATCAGTATAAAATAATCTATACTCGTACAACCAAGTACAGGAACTCAACGATACCATACTTGGCCCGTGTTCTAAGCGACAGAGACAATGTTAAGTGTGAAACCTATGACTTGCTTTGTTATTGATAAGATAATATTAGGCTCTCTTATTTCTCTCTTATTTTGTATTCTGTAGTGAACTCCTTCTCAAACATACTTAGCTACCTAAATTATTAACATTGGCTTCCTTTTTTGTACTTTACTATATTCCTTCTATTGTGTATCCACTGGTTCCGACTCTATTAGCACTATGAGTATTACAAAATTGTCCTGTCATTAACCATCATGTAATTATTAGTTTTGTGGTTGTTTTTTGTTATTTTTTATACTTTTCGGCAATATTAAACTAACAATCATTGGTTGTGAACGCCATAGTCACCAGCTTAAAAAATTTTGTATTATTCAGGATTACTCACACTTCCACTACAAACACTGCATTGGACCTGACAATAAAAAAACAAAACAACAACCCTGAAATGTTATTTTATGACTGTTTAGAGTTTTTTCAACCAAATTAACTGACCATCTTGGCGATAAACATTCTTAAATATCATTTCATAACTTCTTGTATGACTGTAGCTTTACTATCACCATGCATAATCACATCATAGCTTCCACTACCCAATACTGAGTTATTATTATATGATGTTTATTTTCCTTTCTACTTCTTAGTATTTTTTCGCATTTATAATTATTTTTGTGTTTTTCCTGTGTTTTTGTTGTTGCTGTTGTTGTTGTCTTTATATTTATTTTTTTGAAATACTCCTTTTAAATGTTTGTAAAATTAGATGCAAATATTGTAGATATTGTGCTGAAAATTCCACACTGTACCACTAGTACTGTTTCTGGAATAAAGCATATTATTATTATTACAAAATCGGCACATGAGTGATCATTTCAAGATCTAGAGAAGCAAGACAGTGGTTTCAGATTAGATTCACACAGTTAGATTCAACTAAATGAAAGACAGGCTGTATATTAAGAGCAAGAAAAATAATGATTTCTGACAAAAATAATGATCTCAAAAATGATATTGTATCAAAGTGGATTTTATCGTAAATACATGTTTACTACCCAACTAATGAGAAATAAGAAACACTGTACAACTCTTTAACCTTAGTTCGGTACTCTTCTACGACACAAACTCATGGTTTCTGAACGAATCAGAAGCAAAACAGTTGGTTTACGAGGCTAGCAGATTACCGTTTTCACTTCTTAATGAGACATGTTTTTCATGTTTTTATTAACAATGCAAACTTTGTGATCAGTGTGTTGAAATTTGGAATTAGATAATGTGCATTCATCTGCGTGGTGATTTAGTCTCACCAGGATCACACTTTCAAAATGCTTCTCAGAACACTATTCAATATTGTTATGAAGAGGACAATGCTAGTTGATTACTAGCTCAGTTCGCAACCATCTGGTGCACTCAATTCACTCGGCTTCACTGGAGCGCTTTTTCAAAATTATTATCAAATGAATTTCGAATGATGCCAGAAGTGTTATGACTAGAGATTCTTCAACACAATCCCGAAGTACGTGTGCAAAAGAGGTTTATTCAGTCTCTGATTTCCCTATAGGCATAAACGTCATCCTATTTGTGAGATTTTGTTTTCAGTAAATAATCCGCTAGTGACACTTTTATGCATTCGTTCGTGCATTTTAGTAGTCCGTGTTATATTTTCACCTTCCTTACACTTATCAAGTGGACATTCAACCACTTAATTTTCAACTAATAACGATTTCCACCCTTCCAAATTTTTGAACCTTTTCATCCTTTAATAGTGATCAATTTCTCTTTTTCTGTGGAAACCATTCCTGAGTAACTGCATCAGTCTTGTCATATGCCCTCATTGGTCAAGTGTAGACTGCTATATGCCTTAGTACATATAAATACAACTATGCAGCTATTTAAAGGTAACTTCATCGATAAAGAAAAATTTCTAGTCTGAACTGTCTTTCACTTATTTGTCATTTTCGGAATTTAGTGCATTTAAACTTTTGAATTTAGAAATAGACATTAAATGTTGTAAGCGCATTACTGATGGCACTCCTTGTAATTAACTCAAATTTTCTTAAATAAGTTTCCAGCTAATTCATACCAGTTTTTCTGTCAATTCACCAATGTTCACCACCTGTTGTCCACAGTTTAAATATCAGTTCATATGTGACGTATAATGAAGTGAGGAGTAAGCTTGCTTTGGATGGAGAAACACGTATAAATATATTTGTGGAGTACGTAACAATATGATTGTACACTTTTTTGTTAGATGTTGAAATTAAGGAAATTGTACATGACTCTTGTTTAAAACAGTTCATGTTGGATTATAGATAACTTTAGAGTACAATCTAAAATAAAGTGTACTGTTGGTCGTTTCTTCTTCGCACTGGTCTATACTGTCTACTTGCTTGACTCAAAACCGTGTTGTATACTTTGGATTTTTGAAGGAACCTTTTTTCCTAATCTGAAGATCATTCTACAACCGGTACACAGCTTCTACCAGTAGACACGATTCCCGCAGTGAACGCTTTTGTGGATTATATGAATAATTTTAGCCGTGGACTTTAACTGCATATCCAAGTAACCATTTAACTAATATAACTCATTACTGTATTTTTTATAATATATTGTTACACTGTCATCTCATTAACCTGGATTTTTATTCACATACTAGTTATGTTATTGAGCTCGCTAGACAGTCCCCTACATATATACTGCTCAGGGCACTTCTCTAAGGATTTGAAGTTATCGATCCAGGCATATTCTCAATATTCTCAGTAGTATATTGATACAAGTATAAAACTTGGGCACTGTGGTAGAGTATAACTCCATTCTGGATAGGATTTTATTTTGACAAATCACACAGTGTTATACGGTAATATTAACTGATGACGTTTCGAGCACAAACTTTTGCTCATAATCATATCAAGTTACTCACACAACTTGGTAAATAATGTTCGATTAGTAAGTAATAACTGAACATTCTGTGATAGGGTCTGGTTCCTACAATTTCTCTATATTGTCTAAAATATTTTTAAATTTCTTTCGGATTAAATGACCTGAAAACAATAACACTCAGATTATATTGCAAATTCCTGATTAGTTCGTAAAACTACATACTACAAAATTTATTTCTAATTTTGTTGATTTTATAGTTCACCCGCATTTACAGAACGGATAGAATTATCAGAATTAAAAATATCATTTTTGTCCTAAAAATAAATTTATTGTAAAGGTGTGTCAGACATAATGGTCAATGAACGACGATAAAATTAATTCCTGACATCATGTTGTATATATTATATCCTACTTAGAGTTAATCATTTGTCTCAGTCGTTGAATGGTAGAACGTTCGTCGGCCACCCGAGAGGTTTGAGTCGAATTCGTGGTAGATGCGCTCCTAAACCCGGTCTAGTTTACTAGTCAGTCTTAAGCCCAGAGAATAAGGAAAGTTAGACAGTCAGGCTAGCAACTTTACATTATAGAGGCCATATATTACAACTGAAACTTCAAAAGCTTGTAGCCCAGTGTTCTAATCGGACTACAAGGAATGAAGTAATGAAAATAAACAAAACAATATTGTTCAAAGTATGCTGTTATAGAGAGGATAAGCATTTTAAAATGATAGATAATTTCGAAGTCTCGAGGAGATGTAAGGTGACTGAGTGGATCAATACGCGGCAATAAAGATAATAAACAGAAGCTACAAGCAGAATCGACATCTTAAGCCGTTGTCTATGGATGCAGAAGATTTTAACTTCAGCTCTTATTTACTAAGATATTTTTGAGAATAATCCTTCAGTTTCTGAGTGTCGAACTTGAATTGTGGTCCATCTCCACTTATTCTGAAGGCTTCCAGCTTGACCTGGAAAGTTCCTTGAACTGGATTATTCTCTGAATCCATGCCTGCTTCTTCCTCAATTTGTGTGCAGCAGACTGCATCGCCACTTCCTTGAGCGGCATGAATGAATTCTACCCGGTATTTGGTGTGTCCATCAGGTGGAATCTATGTTGCCTTGGGTATATGCCTGTGTTTGAACATGCTGCCTTGAATCACCAAATCACTGAATACACAGAAGTCTGCGAAGAATTCTCCGTTCTCGTTCATTTCGCCGAGCGAGGGCCTCTCGACCAAGATGAGATCTCTTCCTAAATTGTCTGCTCACAGTTCAGCAGATATTCATATCGCCACCTAAGATTTTGATGTCACGATATCGGAAGTTGTCCATTACTGTCTGCAGTATCAAATGCTGAAAGTATCGGCGTTTACTGTTAGTACGATGTATACTAACGCAACATCTAATACACGCAACTTCCATAGTAATCCTTCCGCATAGACCAAAGGCAAAGCAAAACACAAAAGTAATCGTTCGCATTACGAAAT